GTAGAGAGGCTATTCTGGATGATTTGATTGATCTATGGAAGGTATACATCTATAGTATTAATTTTGTGTAAATTGAACCATTGGGCTTATGTAATCTATAATAATTACATTATAGCTTCTCGGTCAGTAAAATTTGGGTTGTGTTAGGATAGAATTAAAAATCAGAAAATGAAACTCAGTTGTAACATAATATGTTAGACTTGTCAAAAAATGTTCTGAGGATAAAAGAGATGAATTTGGGAATTGGGAAATATGTTGAGAGAGATTATTTTCCCTTAACTATGAAGAAATATATTTAAATATCTTGACTACATATATTTTCTAGTTTCTATGGATATGGGTCACATCTTCATATAATGTTATACTTGTGAATGATAAAAGACAACCCTGGCCTTTAGATCCTTCACATTTTACCATTATTAATTAATAGTTATTACTTAATTTATTTTCAGAATTATTATTTTTCACTTATTTCTTGATTTTAAAAGCATGAAAGCACCATTGTTCATGTGTAGAGACTCAGGGTAAGGAGAGAAGGTGATTCAGCTGTGAGCAGCAGATGATAAAAATGAAAACAAAATCTTCATGCTGATCTGCTCAAAAAATCCCTATTTTTACTTAATTGGTTTCATTTGATAAAAGAAGTATTTTCCACTATTGTGGGAACAATGGGAAATTGAATATAACTTTGAGTATATTTCTAGAGAATTTGCTTAACTGTAAAAATAAACTTTGTCATATTTTTCTCCTTTTATTTCATTGGAGTGAGTTTATTTTTCTGGTAAGGGCTATCACAAAGTAAAGGGAAAGAGTAAATTCCTAGTAGGGCCAAAAGATTTCCAAAGGCTAGATTGTGTATTTAAAATTTTGACTTTAGCAAAGTTATATGTATACATACTTAAAAATCACATAGTTTTGTCAAAAAGACATGAGAAATGGCAGTCTCCTCTTCCACCCTCAGACCCACTCCTTAGAGGGAACCATATATTTGTCAATATTAATATTTTGTCATTATCTAGTTTATTAACACAAGACATTTTCTAGAACTTCCTGTAATGGTCGTCAAAGAGTTTACCTCTCTTACTATCACCTTTCACCCTAAATCTTCCTCCCTATCTTCTCATAATATGGATATATATAATAATAATTTTTGGCCAATTGTTAATATTTACATTACTATGACAATATAATTATTGTTCACTGCATAGGTCAAACGATGTGCTATGATTATATTTCCTTTCTTAAACAATCTTTTGTTTTTCTTGAATTTGTAAATGCTTCTTTTTTTATTTGCTTAGTCTTCTATGTAAACTTACCTTTAATTCTTTTCACATGCCATATGAAATCTGTCTGTTATGTAAGTATTGATATTATTTTCCAATTGCCTAAACCCACCTATTGATACTCTTTACCTATTCCATTTTCTTTTGGACTTCTCCCTTTGAACTGGTTATTTTTTAGGCCTGCTACACGGTTGTCATCTTGGGACTGGTCTTCATTGCTCTTCTGTGTTTAATTCACTGTTTTCCTGGGTCTCTTGCCTGTTTTTTGTTTTTTTCTTAGTTTACTCCTTTGTTTTGCTGGAGCACATCTAGTAGCTTTTAAGAAAGGGTGCACTGGATATAATTTTCAAAATTCTTTAAAGGCTGAATGTCTTTGTATTTTACTTCTAAACCTGTTTGGTTTGTCTGAGGATAGAATGCTTGGTTGAAAATTACAATTTTGAAGACATTATCCTCTAGCTTCTAGGTATTTTTGAAAAGTCTGATCCTAGTCCTTTCTACATATTGTTGGAAGTACAAAAATTAGAAAAATCCCTGGACCCTACTGTCAAAAACCTTACATTTTAATTGGACAAATAAGATATTTGCATAATTGTGAGCAAGAGAAAGTGTTGAGTCCCATCAAAGGAATACAGATAGAGTGTTATGAGAGTTCAGAATGAATATGTCATGTTCAGCCAAAGAGATAAGGGAAGAAGATACTCTGAGGGTGTATTTTTAAGCTCGGTCTAAAGGATGGATATGCAGAAAGGAGAGGGGGCATTCTAGATAGAGGGGACAGTAAAGGACAGATAGAGGGGAAAGTAAAAGGAAAAGTATAGAGCATCTATGGGGAATAGCTAACAATTCGGGAGTGTGATGGAGTGTAGTTGATTGTAAGGTTGGAATGCTAAGTGTAGGTCAATTTTAAGAGATTTGAATGCCCTAATGCTGTTGATAATAATGACAATGATAGCAGCTACTATTTATTGAGCATTTACTATTTGCCAGTCACTCTTCAAAATGCTTTATATGAATTAACTCATTTAATAGTCACTACCATATGATATAGTTGCTATATCATCTTATATTCTTAACCTTGTGCAATAGCAAACATTAATCTGTAGCCAGTGGGGGAGTCAGTAAGTTTTCTCTTTCTTTCTTTAAAAATCTAAGGAGTGACATGACAGAGCTGTGATTTAGGGAGGTTAAACTTGTGGTGTTGTCTAGGATAGGCTGGATTTGAGAGGAAAAGTGGAAGTTGGTGCCATCTAGCCATCATTAACAAGAGTGGATATAAAGGATTCGGACAGTGTATCTAAAGGGAACAGATTGCACTTAAGTAAACTGAGGTCATTTCAGCTGATTCTAAAGTTAGTATCTGGCTGGGCATGGTGACTCACACCTATAATCCTAGCACTTTGGGAGCCCAAGGTGGGAGGATCTCTTGAGGCTGGAAGTTTGAGACCAGCCTGAGCAACACAGTAAGTCCCTGTCTCTACAAAAAAAAAAAATTAGCCAGGCATGGTGGCTTGTGCTTGTAGTTGCAGTTAACAGGGAGGCTGAGGCAGGAGGATAGCTTGAGCCCAGGAATTTGAAGTTCCAGTCGGCTATGATGATACCACTGCGCTCTAGCCTGGGCAACAGAGTGAGACCCTGTCTCAACCAATCAAATCAATAAAATAAAAATAAAATTAATGTCAAATA